ATCTATATATTTTATAAGACTTATCTTATCAGATGCCTTATTGGCGTCCCTCCTTGCCGGTGGATCACATTGTGCTGCTGGAGGAGCAAGGGGAAAAAAAGGGTCCCTTCCTGTTACTCCTTCGCTTAAATATGAGTCTCCTTGCTATGTCACTCCTGCCTGGATCAGCACTTCTCTACTACATTTCCCAGAATCCTCTTTGACTCCTAGTTCCGTCTAACTTGCTGTCTCATTGGCCAAACAATATTTTATTTAACAATCAGTAAGGTAAACATACACAGTACATTCCCCATCATCTCCTCTTTTCTGTCTAAATAAAAGAAGGGTAACTTATCTTTTATAATAACTGAAGAAAACTATAACCATAACTATCTGTCTTCAACTCTATCAAAGACCACAGAAGGATAATATATAAACTCTAGAATTGACAGGACATCTTGCTACCTGGACAGTCACCCAAAGTTCCTCTGTAACGTTGGGGCATCCATCTTCAGCCTATAGGCCACAGTTCTGTGTATTCATTTGGGCCCTAACTCAGGCGGGCGGCTGGCGTAAAGCTCACATGTGGCGGTGGGGCTCGGCAGCTTTGGCGGAAAGATTTATCGTAACAAGAGCTCCTTAAATGTTTAAGTGTCTGAATTTTTTTTTTTGTTCTAAAATCTGGGTAATACAGCTTATTGTGAGAGAAAATACACTCTTTAAGAGAAGAAAATGCCAAGTCTGGTTCCTGGAGTCAAGGCCTATGCAAGACGGGGTGGGTAGTCTTTTCAGAACTGTCTAGTGCAAAAAGGGTAGAAAGTGAAATTCATGCAGCTAATGGTAAACCTGAAAGAGTTGGAATTCTTTTTAGAAATAATACAATAAGGAGCAGTGATACGGCTCAGCAGGGAAAGGCACCAAGATAAACCACCCCAGTCCATCCCTGAGACCTACATGATAGAAACAAAGAACCAGTTCCTTCCAGTTGTGCACTAACCTCCGAATGTATTCTGTACTGTGTGCATTCGCCCACATTCGCACCAATCAATGTAATAAAGTAATAACTCAATAAACATCAGCCCTCTGCTAAGAACTCCCAAGATGCATCTTTTGTCTTTTGGAAACTGTCTCACATCAATTTGTCCCCTTCCTGTCAGTCACGGTCACTAGAATTCCGGTCTCCCAACAAAACAACATGATGCCTAGGACATTTATCAGATGAGTGGTTGGACAGGAAGGAAGTCCCCTCCTTCACCCTCCATTTAGCTGAGTTTACTGTTTAAACAAAGAGTATGACTTTGAAATCTATCAACACCATATTCAGTAAAGAGCTCTCTGAACGTTTCCCTAGTCAGAAATCCCCAAGGCCTGATTTTGTGTTGTTGTTGTTGTTGTTTGTTTCGGTCTTTTACAAGTTACAGACCCAAACTGCTGAAAGAAGTGTTCAAGTGGCTGTGAAGTGTGGAGCCCAGTATGATCCCCCAGCCTGACAGGATTTGGGGGAAGGGGTGAAGATCAAAGACCAGAGTGGCCCTGCAGCAGGGCTCAGCCATTCCTAATGGAGATTTTAATAGAAAGAGGGCCTCTACTGCTGAATGAAAGCATGTCAGCAAATTCTTCCTTTGTGAAGAGGAGCAGACAGTTGAGGCCATCAGACCCCAGACATGCTGTGTGGGCAAAGACTCTCTGTGGTATTATGTTTCCAAATTGGTGCATCTTCCAAGTTGTGTTTGGGGATTAGCAGGCCAGCTCCTTGTCTTCCGACATTTCTGAAAGCAGATATGCTGACAGGCATGGCTGGGACTTCTCGGCTCCTTGGCCAGTGTGAGCCACCACTCCCCACCCTCCATGCAAACTATTAGCGTTTCATGATCTAGAAAAGCAAACCAAACAATGAAGCAATAAAAATAAGCAAAGTATAATCTAAAGTCATAGGACAAATGGAAAAATACTTAAACCAAGCAAAAAAACCAAGGCTGTGCATTGTGATATTAACATTGCTAAGCTTTTGGATGTGGCACTTCCCATCTACCCAAATCAATAACAGACACGTCTTTACTCACATAGGTATTTCCAGGTATTTATCTTTTGTTGTTGTTTGTTTGTTTTCAAGACAGGGTTTCTCCAAGTAGCCTTAGCTGTCCTGGAACTTGCACTGTAGATCAGGCTGGCCTTGAACACACAGAGATCCCACCTGCCTCTGCCTCCCGAGTGCTTCGATTTTTAAAGGCGTGCGCCACCACCGCCAGCTGATTCCTGTTATTTACCTTTAAGCACTAAGTCCTGTACTGACTGCACTGTCTCAAAACGGGTTGTCTGTTTTCACACTCTATACTATTCTTCCCAGCAATGGCTTGGGTACCCTGCTTGTAGGCTATGTTCTCCCTACTCCTATTTCCCTTTGCTTCTCTCTCTCTCACACATTCTTTCCAACACATGCCTTGGGTTTTTCTATCTGTAGCTGCCATCAACCACCCACCCTCTCTTTCCATCTGTCTCCATGTCTATTTTTAAGCGCGGCTCAGGCCCACCCTCTGCCTTCAAGAAAATCTGTTTATATATTCTAAGGATGGCTGGAAGAGGTTTAGCTTCTAATTTGATCTTTTCTGGCAGTTGGTGAACTGAAGTTCTCTGAAGAAGTCACATGTGTGGTGAAGATCTGTCAGACAGATCTGACTGACTACAGCTTCCTGATTATGGAGAGGTGGAATGTTGCCGATTAAAGGCGACATTATCTTGTACTCTTTGGTCCTCCCACTAGCTATCACCAACCTCCACATCTCTGTGACTATTGGGTAAATCTTTGGGAACACACTTTGAACCTTAGCAGACCTCCAGCCTTCACCAACTCTACAGCTAAGAATGTCATAACTGTAAGAGCCAAGGTTAACCTGTAAGTTCCACTTACCTAAGGGCAAGGTCACTGCATGGAATGCTGGGCGCTGTAGTTCTTGGGAAATAACAAAACACATGTTTTCACTCACCTAAACAAGTTTGCTTGACTCATCTGCACTGAATGTGCTTGACCACATGTGGGTGGGAGGAAATATGTCAGGATGTAAGCTTGCCCCTGATTGGACCTGATTGGAAATGCAATGAATTATGGGTTTTGCCTTTTTAAGCCCTGCAAAAGGGTGACTTGTGACCATTTCCTGGAAACCCAGAGGTGGACCTGGCCAGAGCCCATCAACCTGGTTAGTATTTAATTAGAGCTTGCTTCAAATTTGGCTCAAAATTGTGGAACTGTTTTTTCTCTCAAGAATCCCAGGATTAATAGTAACATTTGAATCTTTCAGGAGAGGTTTTCCTCTCCTGCTGTAACTTGAGTAACTGATAATGCCACCAACAAATGCAGCAAATACAGACTTGTGACTTTTGTCCTCTGACTATAAAAGGTTATATGACCACTTCCACAACACAACATATCATCCAGAGTAACTTGAATCCATGCTTCTAGGCCACGTCTGTTCATATTTAGCTCACAACAAACGCAGAGCAAAAAGTGATTCACCCTAGTTTCGCTTCTTTTGTGGTAAAATACCCTGACAAAAAGCAACTTTGGGAAGGGAAAGAGTTGATTTGGCTTGCAATTCTAGGTCACAGGTTCACCATTGAGGGAAAGCCAAGGCAGGCACTTAAGCAGCTAGTCACATCACATTAACAGTCGGGAGCAGAGAGAAACTATTGTACCCCATGCCTGCTTGCTTTTGTTCTCAGCTAGCTTTCTCCCCTTTTATAGTGTTCTATACCCAAATCTAGGGGATGGTGCTGCCCACAGTGGGCTGGATTTTACTTAGTCAGCTAACAAGACAATCTCCTACAGACATGCCAGCCCAATGTAGGCAACTGAACAATTGATACTTTCTTGGTAATTCTAGGTTGTGGCAAGTTGACATTTAAAGTCATCCAGTGGGCTGGAGAGATGGCTCCGCTGTTAAAGGTTGGGCTCACAACCGAAAACCAAACAACACAGTAGTATTCTGCATCAGTATTGGTAATAGTAATATTAGAAACTCTCTAGAAATAAAGGCTTTTAATCTTAGTGTGCTGTTGTTTTTCTTGCCACCTGGGAAGAGGGTGACAATTCTATTAAAAAAATGCCTTGATTACATTGGCCTGTGGCCATGTCTTTGAGAGACTGTTTTGATTGATGCTTGGTGTGGAAGTGCTCAACCCACCGTGGGTTGCACCACCTTTGGGCAAGTGGTTCTGGGCTGTATAAAACACCAACTGAGCACGAGCCAGAGAGCAAGTCAGTAAGGAACATTCCTTCAAGGTTTCTGCTTCAGTTCTTGTCCTAACTTCCCTCAGTGATGGACTGTGACCTGTGACAAGTGTAAGCTGACACAAATTCTTTCCTCCCCAAAGTTGCTTTTGGTCAGAGTGTTTTTCACAGCAACAGAAAACAACTAGAACACTTAGAACTGCAAACTGGCTTAAGGTGGAATTCACACTGCCATTGGCAAACCGGAGGGAACAGCCAGAACCTACTGGGCATTTCTTAGAAAGGGTACAGTGAAAGTTGGCTCCACACAAGGAACTAAAAAGCATTTGCTGTTACTATCTGTGGATATTGACTGAGAATAAAATTAGTCCAGTCAAGAATAAAAAAATTTTAATTTGGTGCTAATCAGGCTTGTAACTTGAAAGACACAGATTCACGGTCTTGAAAATGGTCTCTGAGATGTTCCAAAACAGTGGCTGTATTGATAGCTTTGCTGACAGGGCAGTTGGAAATTACACTATTTGTCAGAAATTATGACTGATGCTGGGAAAAGTCAGGCTGTCTTGTAGAAACAGTTGTGGGTGCTCTCTCAGTGTCTGTGTAGTTTGGTGGAAGAGGTCTGTTGGTCAGCCCAAGTTAACCATGTTTCAGGTAGCTGTTGCTCCATTCAAGGGTTCCATTTCATGTGTCCAAGATCTGATGAACCATGGCCTCCCAACACCATGTTAAGTGCCCAAACCAATGCTCCTCCATTTTGATTTTTCATCGACAACACATACTAGCTATTTTTTCAAAAAATATTTTATGAATTTTGCCTATATGTATATATGTGTACCACATGTGTGTGGTGCCTGTCCATGGAGGTCAGAGGAGGGTATGGGATTCCCTGGAACTAGAGTTACAGACGGCTGTGGGTGCTGGGAACTGAACTCGGATGTTTTGCAAAAGCAGCAAACGTTCTTCTCTACTGAGCCACCGCTCCAGTGCCCAGCCATTCCTTTCCGTCTATATGTGAACAGGTACTTCAAAATGGAAACCTTAATTTTGTGTGTATATGGGCATGTGTTTCCATGTGTGGGAAGGCCAGCAATCAGCCTCCTGTGCTGTCCCTCAGATGCTGTCCTCCTTATTGTTTGAGGTAGAATCTCTTGCTGGCCTAGAGTTCACCACGCTGGAATGGCAGGTGAGGGAGCTCCAGGGAACTGCCTGTGTCTGTACACCATGCTGGTATTACAAAATGTGCCACTGTGTCTGGTTTTTACACATGGTTTCCGGAGATCAAAGTCAGGTCCTCATGCCTGCATGGCAAAGCACTTTACCAACTGAACTCTCTCTCCAGACCATAATAACCGTGTAAGTGGCTACCTCAGGTTGGCCATCACAGGCTTACCACCGCACGTTGGTAAGCCTTGTTCCCTGTGACACTCCTGATTTCTGTGCTATGGGACACAGGACCTGCTATCCTTACAACTGCTCCTTGCTGCAAGTTCAACATAGGGAAAACAAAGTGTGTGCAGACTCAGCTTATTTTGCTGAATTTAATCATTCTAATGAGATTCAGACACCAGAGGGAAGTCTATTGAAGTCACAAGAGGATGAGTATCTATGGCTCTGGTTCACTGGATGAGCCTTTATTATCAACCTCCACCCACATCCAAGAGTGTGACGGGAGGATGCCTAACACGGAAGGCGCACACACATGCTTCCCAAAATAATGATTCTTACTCTGGAAGAAAAGCCATCACTTACAAAACAAACAAAAAACATTTAAAGGTGCTCCCTTAGTTTTGCAATCCCTAACTGTAAACTCAGTGACAGAGCATTCTCCCGGGTTGGGCACATCACCTAGAGCAGTGGTTCTCTACCTGTGGGTTGAGACCCCTTTGAGGGTTGACAACCCTTTCCCAGGGGTCACCTAAGACCACCTGCATATCAGATATTTACATTATGGTTCAAAACAGTAGCAAAATTACAGTTATTAATAAATTTATAGTTGGGGTCAGCAAAACATGAGAAACTGTATTAAAGGGTCACAATATTAGGAAGATTGAGAACCACTGACCTAGAGGGATATTCAACATGGGAGAAAATGGAGCACTGAAATAAATGAATAATTTATGAAAGGCAGTTTTGCTGCTTTGCACATCTTTATCACAGAGGACTGGAAAGTGTGGGTGGTGTTCTTTTTAAAGCTTGGCAAACATATTTGCCTTTTTTAAAAAAAAAATATTTTTTGGTTTCTCGCTGATACACGCTTCTCAACAGGAACACTATCCTATGCTGGCCTTGGTTAAAATGAGTTGTCTGTTCAAGGGCTGGACCTTCAGGGTAGTCAGGATGAGACCCATGACCTCCGCCTAGGCCACCAGCTTCTCCATCACCTACACCTAAAGAGGAAGCACAGGTAAATCCAGAGGTTTATGGATAGCCTGGAAAGTGCAGATCTGTTTGCCTTCTCCCGTGGAGTGCCTTAAGTCTGAACACCCCTGTGTGGTTATAGATACATCTTGAAATAGGCCGTGTTAAGTGTGCATTTACTGCTTGGTCTCTTCGAAAGGTGTTCATGAGGAATCTGATAAAGCTTTCTAGCAACTTCCCAGTCTGGTGTCTTCTGCTTTCTACTCCAGATGCACAATTCACTGGCTCTAGACAGCTAGCTATCAAGTGACAGGCATCCCATCCCCAAAGCAACTTTATCCTTGGCTGCCTCTCACTCACCACCATCTTCAGAGAAGCACTGGGTGGCCTTTGTGAGGACTGCTCTCACTCAGAAACCCCTCAGGGCCACAAGAGCTTCCTAAAGAGCTTTCTTTGTTGTTGTTGTTCTTACATTTAGGGAAGAGGTTTCCTGATTTGGCAAAAGCAGACCTTGGAAGCAATCTACATGCAAGGAAGTGAAATGTATCCAAGCAGATATTTTAAGGTTGACCTGTGGTCACTTCCCATGTGGAAACTGAACAGTAACTCAGTGAGTTATGTTGTAGAATGTTATTTTATGATGTGTTACTTTTTATGCTGTGGATTATTTGTTTGATGATACAAAGATATGCTGCATTCCTTTTTATGCTGCATTTGCTTAACTCTGTGAAGCTGGGTTACTTTGCCTGTCTAAAACACCTGATTGGTCTAATAAAGAGCTAAACAAACAGCCAATAGCTGGGCAGGGGAGATAGGCAGGGCTGGCAGGCAGAGAAAATAAATGGGAGGAGAAAAAGGGCAGAAGGAGAAGGGGCAATAGAACAAGGGGAGGAGGACACCAGGGGCCAGCCAGCCAGCTGCCCACTACACAGCAAGTCACAGAGAAAGAAGGGATATAGAAATAGAGACAGACAAAAGCCCAGAGGCAAAAGATAGATGGATTAATTTAAGAAAAGCTGGCTAGAAACAAGCCAAACTAAGGCTGGGCACTCATAAGAAATAATAAGCTTCCGTGTGTGCTTTATTTGGGAGCTGCACCCCACCAAAAAAAGAGGCAAAAGAACAAAGAGAAAAAAGAGCCAAAAGAGAAAAAAAAAAAAACCAAAAAACAAAAAACCCAACCTACAAAGTCGAAGCTCCCTGTAAGAGCCGGTTGAACGCCACAGTCTGAATCTGAAATGTCCCCAAAGGCTCCTGTGTTAGAAGCTGGTCCCTGGCTCGGTGTTAGGGGAGGCAGAGGAACTTTTAAGATGTGTTGGGGGCCAAATCTCAGGGCTTAGCATGAGATCCTAGGCGATGCTTGGCAGGCCACATAGTTAACCTTTACATAGCAGCTCCTTAGAACCTCAGCTCAAGAAAAGAAACAACTTAACCTAGTCCTCCACCCACAGGCTCAGTCACCTAAGCAACCCTTCTAAGCTGATTGTCTCGGGAGTTTGTTATAGTAACAGGAAGCCCACATAGCAATGGTCAGCAAACTTCTATAAAGGATGTTATAAATATTTTAGACCTTCCGAGGCCACTCAGAGTCTCTCTTGCACATTCTTTAGCTTGCTATAGTGGTGGGAATAGCATCTGTGTAGCTCCAGTTGCCTTGAAATCTTTATTCTTTTGTCTCAGTCTCCCCATGCTGGGATTACTAATGCATGCCACTTTGTCTAACTTTTTTTTTTCTATTTTAAAAGAAACAATCCTTTTCTTTTTTGAGATAGTTTTGGCCTGAACTCCCTATGTAGACCAGGCTGGCCCTGAGTTCACAGAGATCTGCCTACCCCTGCCTCCTGAGGAATAAACAGTGTATACCATCAAGCCAACTAAAGCAATCCTTTCAAAAGTTGCAAGTAACATTCTGAACTCAAAAGTCTCCTAGATTTCTAAAGGTTGCTAGGTCTTGCTAGGGGAACTGTCAGGAAAACATGGGTAGTGTGGTCCTGGGAACCCCAGCTGGGGGTTACTCTGGTGAGTAAGGTTGGTCCTTGTAGCAGGGATCCTGTTACAGGCTGAGAGTGCCTGGTTGTTTCCATTCTGTCTCCAAACTGCAGGAGCAGAGGCAGACCAGCACCCTCTGTAGAGACTGGCTCTGCAGGGAAGGAAGTCTCGAGAAAGGCAGATTTCATTAAGTCTTATACTGGCTTTTCCTTGTCTCGGTCTTAAAGGCAAATCCCCCAAATTCAAGGCATTTACAGATTTTCATTGCACAGATGAGGCCTCTACTCACCATTCCTACAGCCCAGCAGTGGGGGAGGAGTACAGACTGCCTTCTAACACACTTCCTCTTTAGTACCAAGGCCACAGATAGTTCACAGGGTATGCCCCACTGCAGGAATTCATGGAAAAGATGCCAGCATGATGATCGCTGGAATTCCAATGACAGGCTCATCTGCTGGTGGCCAGCACTTCAGAAACTGGCCCCTCTCAAATATACAGCAGCATTCACTCCAATGTACGTCCTCTGGAATATTCCCAGACATGGGCTGCTCAACGCCACACGCTTCCACCTCCCCACCCGTGTTTTTCATTTAGAATAGACACTTTGAAGAGATGAGGAACCTGCATTTCTTTAATAAATTTGAAGTCTTTTAAGTGGTCAATGCAGCACACACCCACATCACATCTTTTCTCTAAAGGTAACAGGGCTTTGGAATCACCATTCTTCTCTAGTCTTAGAGTTTTAAAAATGTAGCTGAAGGTTCTCAAAATAGCCATTGGCTCCCAACTACTTCAGTTTAGGTGTTGTGGAGCTAGGGAATTTGTGCACCACCACCACCAAAACCAAAGCCTTCCAAAAACAAACCCCATGGATAAGAATCCTCTGGATTACTTTTTTTTTAATCCCCCAGATTTCTAAACTAAATGAATATCATAAATTAAACGAATAAATGAACCCCCCCCCCACCAGTCTCACAGGGTCCCCCAGTTGTCCTTCTCAGGTTTCTGCTTAAAATGTCAAATTTGTTTTCAACATGTGTATTTATTTCTTGTTTCAAATCCAGGCTCTTCCATGGTATGGGCTTACAGTGGCACTGCCAGAGACAATGCAACCACAGGGTTGACAATGAGAACTGTCGAGCAGTGTGGAGTGTGCTGGAGAAAAACACCGAAGCCAACTTGAAAGTGGACGAGGGAGCAGCTGAACAGCACAGGCCTGCTTCTCAGAAGCTGGAGTGCCTGCAAGGGACACTCCAGTTCTCAGACCACTAAGCCAGGGGAGCTTTAACAACTCTCTGGTTTAAAAACAAACAAAACAAATGAACATACAAACAAACAAAAACCCTAACACTGCTGTTAAGAGGGCAACGGGCTTTCCTAAACCCAGGGACAAGAATGGCTAATTTACAGGCGTGTGCTTTGGCTGCAGCCAGACAAGGTTCTCCTCAGTAGTTCTTATCATTCACAACTCTTCAGGATTACTCCCCTGTGCCAACATTTGTCAATTTTTGCTATGAATAACTGGATACTTAAATTGCAAAGAAAACACAGGTAGTGACAAACCTGAGCAGTAAATAAAATCAACTACCCGTCTTCTAGATTGGAGTTTTCAGACAGGAGAGAGAAGACCTAACTTAACTTCTTGGTTCTGTCCCAGGACCACCTGAAGTCCCATCCACGCTAATGCAAACCTGCCCATTGCCCTCCACTATCCAACTGCATGTGTTGAAAATGTAGCACGTCTTAAAGAAAACAAAAAACCTTACTTATTTATGGCAGATACTATGCAGCACAAATCAGGTGAATTCCCTTTTCCCACCCCTCCAGTTAAAGCTGTATTCAAATGGCAATGCCTCTAGACAGCAGGGTTTACAATCAGTGGGTTTCATTTTAACAGAAAGGAAAGGGATCACAAAACCATCTGAGCATACAGAAAAACCCTGAGGCAAAAATGGCTTTTCCTGTAGAGGCCTCCTTAAGCTGACATAGTGTCACAAGGGGCCAGGGCCCTTCTGGGAGGGCAGGCCTTCCTCTATCCACAGAGAGCCAGTTCGGGGTGCCCTGCTATGGATGCGTCGCAGCCGAAGCAGGTAGAGAAGGATGGACAGCAGGACGACCAAGAAGCAGCCAGAGAACAGATAGTGGTTGTAGACAAACGACACACCCCGCCAGTGCCCATGGCCAGCCCGGAACACCTCCTGCCGGATATCTCTGCAGGCATGGAAACAAACAGAAACAAACAGTTAGAAGGGTGCAAGACAGGGACTGCTGTCCCTGCTTTCCTTACCAATGAGACAGGGGACAGCAGGCCCAAAGTGAGTTCCCTGCCAACACTATGCTCTCAATACTAAGACAGTGACTTGCGAAGGCATGCCTACAAGACCCCAGAATTAAAATCCAATAAATACAAGGGCCAGGGTTTTGCTGTTACAAGGAAGTTAATGGAATGAACACACTCACATGGAACTATGTATAATCAGTAATAGCTACTGCACAGAATTTCTAGAGCTGACCTAACTAAAAATATCAGATAAATATAGTTTTTAATGTGTGTCAGCAGAACTAGTTCTGTGAACTTGAATGGGGAAATCTGTATGTCCATTTGACCAACCGTGGATTGGAATTTAGTATTTTCTTTGGACATGAATTGATGAAGACAACGTGACAGTCTTAAAAGTATTAACTGAGACTTCAATGCTAAGGGCAATAACTGATGTTTTTGGCCTCTTATGACAGCTAATATCTCAGCTGTCAGTCATGATCAAGCTGAATGAATGGACATGATAGTTCTGCTGCCAGTCATCATAAGTTAGTGTGTAAATAAAGATGTCCTCCTATATCACAAATCTGTTTGCTACAACAGTGTCATAAATGTAGTTCAATATGATTTTTTCTGCAATCCTAGACACTGTAATATCCAATGAAGGGGCCCAAAGCCATAAGGGTCACCACGGAGTAGACTCTTCTGCAGGGGTCAGGGAACAGACAGTTGGGACACAGGATGGCACCAGGATTGTGTGCTGTGAGATGGGCAGTTTGAGAGAACAGGAAGCACTTGGGGAGGGAGGCGGAGAAGACCCAAGTTAAGTCTGGCTGGTCTCACAGCTCTGAAAATATGTCTACAAAACGCAGTCATTAAGAGGCACTGTGCTTCAGAGAGGCATCTTTTGTGATTCTCCCAAGTTCATAGCCTACCTCAAGGGCAAAAAGCGGGTCCTGTAAAGGATGGCCCCCAGGGTCCATTGCACTTCCTTATCGTACACCTGCAAGGCTGTCTTCAGGTTTTTGTATGTGACAGGAAAGGAGAAGCCCCTGTGGAACACCTCAAACATCCAGGCTGATTTGAAACACTGATACCTACAAATGCCAAGCACAGGCACGAGTCAGACAGGCATCCCTGTCAGAATGCACCAGGCAGACTGTCTCCGCCTTCGGCAGGCTGCTCTCAGCAGGCCACTGTATATATGCTACTGAGTGACGCATCTGGCTCAGGTTCACTCCCCACAGAATGGTTCACCTGTCAAAACTGATTAGCCAGAAACAGTGTCATTTAATCACTACTGTGAGACACCACCCTCCACACACCTTCATGTCCATCATTTACTGAACAGACACT